GTGAACACACACAGGTTGCCTAGAACTGGGATAAAGGTTGAAAGTTGAACTTTTAGTGGTTAACGGCACACATTCCATGTTTATGGCGTTTTCTCCTTCTGATCTGATCGTGTGCATAATTATAGCATTAGAAAGCAAACAAACCTTAGCAGAATCTCCGTTTATATGTGGATATTTACGCCGAATGTTCTGAAGCTATGAAAACAAAAAAGATTTTCAAATAGGATAGGTGTGTCTGCAGAGATCGTTGATAGCAACATGCGCCACTCCTACTTTACCCATGTAAGGGTTCTTGTAAGGTTTTATGGCGGTTAACAAACTGATTAAGGTGCATTACCGCCACCAACTGATAAGGAGTTAAAAAAGGAAACAGGAAACAAGACTCACCCCCGGGAAGAAAAGATTAAATAAATATTTAAACAAATGAATATTTAATTATTATTTTTTATTTCAACCCAACTCAATAAATAACAAATGTTTAATCAAATTCGAACTCATGATTTCTAATTTATCTTTAGGTTATCGTCACTGCCAGTTTCTGATGGTCAATTCAGCTTATTTCTATAGCGCCAATTCACAACACATGACATCTCAAGGCACTTTACAGTTCACCAAATCATACAGTCAAATTGATTCAAAGTTTTCTATCTAGGAAAACCAGTTGATTGCATCGTCTCATTGACTCGAATGCAACCCCCCACACTTAGCATGCTTGTAGCAACAGTGGAGAGGAAAAACTCCCTTTTAACAGGAAGAAACCTCCAGCAGAACCAGGCTCAGTGTGAGCGGCCCTCTGCAGAGGCCGACTGGGGTTCAAATTATTATTGGGGTCCTACTCGTTTTCCCATCATTCAACCATTTCCTAGTTTTATATGCCATTCGAATGCTTATAATATTAAGTGTGTCTCGAGGCCCCGCCATCAGTGTCCACCACATTGGATCAGTCCATTACATGTGCAGAATGGTCCAAACATACAGCAGCAACCTTTTGAAACCAAATTGCGTGAGGAGCCGTGTTGCCAACTTAATGCTTTTTTTGGTTATTTTTAGCGACTTTTCGGACCCGTCTAGCACTTTTAGGTCAAAAGGTGCCTAGTAACAAACCTAGCGACTTTTATCTGCTACTGGAGACTTTGGGAACAACATATAAAAGGGTCCACCTCTGCTCTTCAGAGCTAGTAGATTTGTAACCCTGCCTCCTACTCACCACTCTTTTGTCTGCTGCCATGATTCATGCAGGGCAGGCTGCCTGCACGCTGTGATGCAACACAGGAGAGAGAACCTTTACACTGCAAATCCAGATTGCAAATGAAATGCACAGGTTTAAAGCTCTTACTATTCTTGCTCAAGGTTACAAAATAATTTATAAAACAATTTTAATAAAAATAAACTGGTGCTTTTTTAAATTTCTCCCCCTTTCTGCTCCTCTATGCACGATTTTCTGCTTCTTAATTCGTTTTTTTCATTGGTTAGCAAACAACTAATGGTGGATTACTGAA